AATCCTGGATGAATGTATTTTTGCCCCAGCTCTGAGCTGCAGCACCGCGCCGGAGGCTTCCCAGCAGCTGGAAAGACAAGATTCCTGCAGTCCTGCACTGCTTAGTCAGGAGAGGTGACATGCAAACACACGGGGAGAGGAGCCTGGCTCCTCTTCCTTACCTGGCTTGACACCACGGGACGCGCGTGTTCCCAGGGGAGGATCCTGCTCCGGAGGAGAGATGCTCAGTGCTGGCTCTTGGGCACATGAGTGATGGATTCTTCAGGGCTGTGAGAGCTCCAGGCGCTGGCAAACGGGAGGAGATGGATGCTGGTGGAAATTACCCACCCCCTGCCCGGGTTTGCCAGGCCGGGAGGGTTTGTGAGGGCAGAGCTCTACAACCCGGCAGCGGAGCCAGCTCTTGAGTCACCCTGTGCTGTGCATGGGTCTAAAAAAAAAAAAAAATCCCACAAATAATCCTGTGGCTTCGTGCCCCCCGGGAGCCTCTCTGACCTTGTGGGAGCATTGCACAGGAGCTGTTGGGCTCTGGCAGCATGATTTTCCCATGCACTTTATACCCTGGTGATGTGGGTTTTCTGCACAGGCTTCCCGCTGCCTTTGCACCTCGTGAGCAGGAGAAATAGGATCTTTAATTACTCTGCTTTTAGAGAAAGCCATTGTCTGTATGTCTTACACAGGATGCTGCAAGAGAGATTGCTGCTCCCATGGGTTGGTTGTTTTTTTTTTTTCCTCCTTCCAGAGCATCCCTGGGGGATCCCTCTGCACCTTGTCTGTCAGCAACCCCTTTTGTGCTGATCCCGTTTCATGACAATCCTCTTGGGAGGTCTCCAGATGGAAGTGGCTGCTATTGCCTCTGCGTGAAGGGTTTCTCTGCCTCTAGGCTTAAAATAAAATCAAATCCCCTTGTTCGGGGTTCATCCTGTCTCTGACTTTTGCTGTTACTTGGGTAACCCTTGCGAAGCTGCTGCAGGAACAACTGGAGCTGGTTCCTGCAAAGCACTGATGCTCCTCTGGTGCCCTGGGACAGCCCTGGAGTTCTGGGCTGCCAGGGCTGCGGCAGTGCAAGCCTTTGCTGCTTTGGGCCTTAAATAAACAGCAAAACTTGGTGGATTTTACCATGGTGAGAGTCACTTCAGCGGGAAACTCCCTCGTCCGTGTCTACAGGTCTCCTGGTGTCCAAGTTCTTGTGGCAAAGCCTGCGGAGCTGTCAGCTTTCCAAGAGAATTTCTGCTTTTCTCAGAAATCCATGTTTCCTCTGGGCAGCTGCAGATTGAGGCTGCAGTTTTCCCCCCCTGGACCCCCCAGTTATCAGCCCCCGGGGCTTGTGACAGCACGTGAAGGATGCAAACCCCGATTTGGGCGATCCTGACTCACGCGAGCCGGAGCTCCTGAGTCCGATGGGAAAAGCGTTGCTCACGTGAGCCTGTTTGTAGGAGCAGGGCTCTAATTACAGGGTTTGCCCATCTTGTAGCGTGGGAACCGGAGCCATTAGCCCCTTAAACCTCCAGATCATTCCCGATACATTAATGTTTCTAATTAGTTAAGCCTGATGCCTTTTTTTTTTCCTCTCTGTAATGACAGTGGCGCTGGTTCTTACTCGTGTTCGCTCTGCGTGCCGGTACTTCATTATATAAGGATACAGTATGTGTTGTAATACCTATTCCCAACTGGCAGTGGGGTTTTTTTGTTTGGTTTTTTGTTTTTTCCATATGCTTCATCCAGAACTGATTAGGCAATGGAGAAGGCAGGCTAGTGCAAATGTCTGTTTGGGCCGCATCCTTTCTAATTAGTGGGGAGGTGATTAGTGCAGAGTGTGAGGAATTGGGCCCCGGGTGAGGACCTGGAGCTGGTGGGTCAGTTGGAAGCCGTTGCTGTGGGATGAAAACCCGTTGCCTGATTCCGTGCTCTGTTAAGCGATGAGCTGCCCCTTCCTCCCGGGGTTTTGCTTTCGTTCCCAGTCTCTTCCTCCCTTCTTTCCGGGGAAACCATCTCCACGGCAACCTCAAACCTCCAGGCTGTGCCTTGGAGCTGCTCGCCCATCCCTGGGACCCGGCTGGTAAGTGTCCCTCAGCAGGCCCAGCCGCGGTGGCCCTGGCCACCAGGTCCACCAGGCTGCTGCAGGCACCTCGCTGCAGCCCGGGGAGGTGAGGGCTGGTGTTGGGCTTGGCAGGAGTGTGGGTAGGTAGACCTCATCCTCAGGGCTTGTGCTTTGTACAGATTTAAAAGTAGGTGGCTGTGGCTCTCCTCGGGTGGGAAAAGCTCCACCCTGGCTCTGGAGAGGGTGGCTGGGTTCAAGGTGAACCCTGGTGCTGTTCCCCTGCAGGTGGGGTTGGGGTTGTGTTGGTCAACGTGTCACAGCTTGGTCAACGTGTCACAGCTGGTCGCGTATCCAGGGAGCGGGGTCCTGGTGACACCATGATGGAGCCTCAATACCATTTTTTACCATATTTTCTGTCACGTTAGAGTCTGAAGGTGAGCAGCAGGGCCTGCACCGGCAGATGGGGACCCTGTCCCCTCTTGGTGCTGCCCGAGCACGGTGTGGTGGTGGTGATCATCGCCACGTTGCCCAGTTTGTCGTGTCCTACATGCACGTCCCTGGTGCTGTGCGGGAGGGTGGTGATGCCCCTTCCTTGTGGGTGGACAGAAATAGGTCCTCGAAGATGCAAGGTCTTGCTGGCAGCTTGTTTTGTTGGGTTTTTTTTTGGTGGTTTTTTTGTTTTTTTTTTTTTTTTTCCCTGGAATCACTAAAATAATGATGTGGAATTGATGGAAATTGCTTTCCCTGGAACTGCACCATGGTGGTGGGGATGCGCTGGTGGCCAAAGGGTACCGGAGGGGGCAGCGCTGGGTCCTGGCTCTGCCCCTGGGACTGACCCTCTCTGTCCCTTGGTCCCTGCAGGGCAGGATGAAGCTGCTGGGTGCTGTGTTGCTGGCGGCCGGCTTGCTCAGCACCTCTGCCCGGAGGGAGCAGTCCCTCGGGCCGGCCAAGCCTTCGCAGACCTGCTTCTTCCAGACGCTCAGCAGCGCGGACAGAGAGTTCTGCAGGTGAGTGACCCTGTCTCCTTCCCGAGCTGCACCAGCCCTGGGCGTGCAGTCATGTGCTGCCCTTCTGTGTCACCTCCTGGGACAGTTAATTCCAGCATCCCCTTTGCCAGGGCTATAAATATTGGTCGCTTTCTTCCTTTTGCCAGGAATCTGGGCCAGAACGAAGCAGAGCATTGCCCGCTGCCCTGTGCAGCCCTTGTCTTATGCAGGCTGAGATCTTAGTGTCTGGTCACCTCGAGCTGTTCTTTGGTCCGTTTTGCAGAAATTTTAAAGCAAGCTGTAGCGTTTCAATGACAAGTGTTTTCTGCAGAGCGTTTGAGAGGAAAGAGGATACTTTTGGGGAAGGACAAGTCCTAGAACAGGTCGTTCCCCAGACCTCAAAGCTCATCCCGCAGAGATGTTAATGCTTGAGGTGTGGGCATGAGAAGAGGAGGAAGCTTGAGGAGCTTCTCCTGGAGCTGCGAGCAGGCAGTTTGCTGCTGTACCAGCTGAACAGCCGTGGAGTGCATCGCTTTATCAAGTGTTCTGATACCAAAGGTCCTTGGCTACTTTCCAGTTAATCAAAATGCTCTCTAAATGTGAGCGACTTAAGCTTCTAGATTAAGGCAAGTGGAGACTTCTCTCGGCCCCAGCTTCCTCCTGCAAACCATGAATGGGAGCACCTTGCTCTGAGCTCTCAGCCCCTCTGTGCTCATTGGCTTCTTGGGCTGCAGGATTTAAGAACTTCTCTTGCAGCAGCTCATCTTCAGGGTGGCCTTGAGACAAGCTGCTGTGACCTCACAGGTTGTTCTGGTGGCCTCTTTCTCTGTGAGAAGGGGAAAGCACTCCATGGAGCTGGAGATACCTGACCCGTTATTGCACTATCTCTGCCCAAAACCCAGCGGAGCCTCGTCCCTGCTCTCATATCACACGTGAGAGAAGGAGGCTCGGAGTTCAGATGTTTGTCCAAGGCCAGTTGGGTGTAGGGGTAGCGTTGTTCTCCGTGCCTCACATTAACCTGTATGGGCCACAATTTTTAAAGACTATAGAAAACACTGGGAACAATCTAAGCTTGTTATAGATGAGTACTGAAAGTCTTGCTGCTGCTCGGGAGAGGCAGCAGACCCCGTGGTTATGTTACGGCACGGATGGGTCTCACCCTGGTGCACGAGGTCCGTGGTGTGTTCTTACCCTAAATGCTCTTCTCTCCCCATTTTTTTTTTCTCCCCAGAGGGGATTTAGAAATTATCTACCCGGAGCTTGGCGACGTTGGCTGCATGTACATCCCCAAATGCCACCAGTACCGCTGGCGGATCAGCAGGGAGTGGGGCAGCCCCCGCGTTCGCTACCCCCAGGCTGAGGAGGTGAGTCCCGAGTGGGTCGTGGGCAGCTGCCAGGCTTTTCGTGATAATTAAAGGTGCAGCGGGGAGGAGGGGAGTTGGCTGGGAAGGAATTCCTTGCATACGTGCGTGCTTGCACTTGGAGCCCGGCTGGGACACCCTGGCTGGGAGCTGGGCCAGGGGGTCACCCAGTGCTGGTGTTTTGGGTGCTGGGCACGGCTCTCCCAGTGCTGTACAGGGCTTAGCACTCCTGCCAAAATGCCATCAGCTCCTCGGCTTGTGCTTGTTAAACTTTGACCTGAAATCAGGGTGGCTTTCTAAGCTGTTATTTTTTTTTTTTCCTCCCATTACTTTTGGCTTGAGGCTGAGCTGTGGGTAAACTGAAACTTTGTATTTGCCTTGCTTTGCGGCCCCAAAATTTTGCGTGCATGGATTTCTTTATTATTGTCGTTATTTTGCAATTGCTTGTAAACTTTTTC